TACGTCCAACCTGACCAGCAGGACAATGCTACCGCATCAGTGTATTTCTCTTCTCCTGTCTTCGGTAATTATGCATTCGTGGTTTCAGTTCAGCTACGGCGGATCTAGACCCAGATCCTGCCTATACTGTTCCGCACCTAAGTGTCTCATCCATGGATGTCTCTCCGCGGCTTTTTCTCCCTTCTCTGACCTGCAGCGGCCTCTCATACCCAAGCACCTATTCGATTGCATCATCTCTCCACCCCCGTACCGATCTTTCGATATTGTTATTGGACCAACGGCCAGATGGCAAGGAGAAGACAAGCTTTTCGAACCAAAGGAATCAGAAGATTGCTCGGATTGATACCGTCACATGCATGCCCGTAACAGCCTACAGAATGGGATGTGAGTTCTCCACAGAGACTACAAAGAGTAATGAGCTCTTCTCTTTTCTTCCAGTTGCGGAATATAGGCCCTGACATAATCGGGCTCGCATCGGTCTATACACCATATCATACTCCACGCTATATCATTTCCAATTACGCGGTAATCCGCCCCCGACATACGTCAGAAGTCACGTATGTTGTGTTGAATTACAGGGTTAATGAGACTCGATTGACTTGAGGTTCAGCTATCTACACATGAAGGGAGACCTGTCATATATACACAATGCCATGAGAGTGCCTTGTACTGTACAAGTCCTTGACCCTCAAATCAGCATGTTGAAGCTCTGGATCGTACAAAATACCTAGCACCAATAATTTACTATAAGTAGCATGTTTCAGTTCGCCTCTCTGAGTAAATCACGTCCATTCAGATAGAAGGAATTGCCTGTCCAATAGAAGCCTCCTAGTAAGAAACGGCGCATACGAGCTTGAATAGCAGCATCGACGAAAACAAATGGACTAATAACATCGGTGCCAGGTAACAATACAGTTAAGTTGTTTATAGTTAGCCTTAGGTTTAATAACGTATATATACCGCCTGTCACAACGTTGTTATCATTTGAATCAAGTGAGACAATTGCATTTTTCCTAGGTTAAAATCAACAGACTCAGCTACGGTAACGGCTCTGAAATAGCAGGTGTTGTTAAAGTGACTGCCTTGAGACAATAGGTAGTATGAGAGAAGAAGAAAAAGAAAAAAAACAATTGCAGTTTATATTGCTGAAAAAAGAATATAGTTTTCATAGTGCTCAAGACCACTAGTTTCACGAGGATGTCCTGCAAAATCCTTTAATACCATTTAATTATTGTTTTCATATGGTATGGTCAACCTAAATAGACCTGTTCTTTGGGTCTTCTTAGGACTTTATTAAAGGATTCGCCGTTTCCATATTCCTAGTAAGATATAAAGCTAGGCGTTCTGCTTTGTCTAAATAGCTTGTCCCATGGAGTATCGCTTGCCAAGTTGATGCTCTCGCACGTACTCGCCAGTGTTGATTGCCTAGATGTAAGATTTGACCGATTACAAGTGTTTTGACCGTCTTTTCTAAGGATTTCGAATTACTTGAAAGTAATGATGGGATTGTAAACTAATATAGGTATTCAGGTAATATCGATTGTAATGATTATGCTGTTCATTTTCACTTCTTTGCTCTGCTTATAAACATGATTATGGTTATTAGCCATCGAACAGGAATTATATATGAGCTAGTGAACTACACAATGCCGTAACAAAGTGTCAAGCTCTAGGTCCTAGGGGGTGAGTAGTGTGAGAGCACAGTAGTTACAAGAATAAAGTAGTGATTAGTAGATACGAAGCATTGCATTTTACGAAGTTATATTTCTAGTCTCCTACACAACAACTACACGACGTTACATTTGCCTTCATGAGTACGAGAAGGAATTCAGCTTTCCTTATTTCTCGTCCTCCCCTTTACTTCGGCGCCGGTGTGTCCCGGTAAGCAGGCGGCAGACACCCCTCCAGCGCCAGCTTGATCTGCTGGACCATCGGCCGCGACCACCAACGTTGATGCTGGACGACGCCCCCCATGACCCAATAGTTCTCCATACGCAAGTGACGTTTCCACATGCCGCGAATCTCTCCCTCGGCGTCCACTCCCCACGAGGCATCCAGGCGGGCTGCAATCTCCTCGGGACCAAGGAAGTCGTTACTACTGCCGCTTATCACATCGATATCGCCCGAACCGAGTACTTCCTTCGCCGTTGCGCGGACGTCCTTGTCGGCAAACCCGGTGCACCAAATGACCGCGTCAGCATCGAGGACGCTGCCGTCGGAGAGACGCAGTCCGCTTTCGGTATAACCCACGGGCTCTACGCGACCGCGCACGGCAACCTTGCCTTCGGCAATGAGGTCGGTACCGCCTACGTCGATGTAGTGGCCGCCGCCGCGCTCGGCCAGGTGATGTTGGATATCTACGGTAGGATCCCTACTGTCGAGGACGGGGAAGCCTGCTTGAGAGAGGGCCAGATAGCGGTCACTGCTTGGTGGGTTAGTGGAGGTTGACGTGAGGGGATTTTGTAGGTAGGGCTGAGCTCACGGTTCCTGGGAGGCGAGGTGGGCGAACAGCCCATGTGAGAATTGACCGTCAAGAGCCGGTGGAAAGGTATTCAGGAGCTTATCGGCTGCGTCGAGGGGCAAGATATCGTAGGCTCCAATGGCGTGAGGATCCATTACGTATTCATAGGGGAAAATATAAGTTGGGGAGCGGGCCACCATGGTCGTCCTCAGGCCTGCATTATGGCAGTCTTGCATAACGTCGAATGCAGTATTCGCCGAGCCGATAACAGCAACAAACTACAAAATGAAGTTCAGGGGTGGATCAAGAGGAATGACTTGAATATGTAGAAACAAAGTCGCCTTAAACGTGAACATGACTGAGGGAACCGTATCTGGCGTACCTTAATCCCTTTCTCTAATAGAGACCGCGCATTCTGATAATGCGCGGAGTGGACACTCAGACCCTTGAACAAATGCTCATCTTCCATCGGTGGGAGGTATGGCTTCTGGCTACCGATTCCAGTGGCTTGGACGAAATGTTTGCTTATGATGGTTTTCGTCACACCTCCGTCAGCGGTCTTAATCTTGACTATCCACTTATTCTCCGAGGGGTTGTAGATAGTCGAATATATATTCGCGGACAGAATGACATTGAGATGGAAATTTGCGGCATAGTGCTGTAAATGTTCCGCCACATCATATTTGGTGAGGCGATGGGGACTCTGCAATTCCTTTCTGTAGTCTTTACGGCGGTGAGTCTCTTCGCAGCCAGCATTAGTGTAAACGGTATAGAAGCTTACAAGCATAAGGCATCTCGCAATTGGAAGTCGGTACGTGAAACCTGAGACAGTCATAACGATTGGTCCAGCTGTCGCCAAGATGGGGATTACGGTCGACGACCACGCTTTCGACGCCCAGGGCTTTGAGTCGTGCTGCAGTCATAAGGCCGCTATGGATGATAAGCCACTGTTCAAGGAGAATAACATGAATCCTGTGATTCACGACTCACGAAGTTCCGGCCCCGACGATGAAGACGTCAGTCTCGACTATATCGATTCCATCCAGGTTTCTGCTAGGTGACAACAGCAACTTCTCATCTTCCGGATGCTGGACTATGTTATCGACCCAGGTTGATAGGACCCATATCTTCCAGGACACAGAACCCCCGGCCGTATCGCTTTTCACGGGTAACAAGACCATCTTTCCCATGCAGTTTAACTCAGGGGAGCTCGTACGGAAGGATATTCCACAGTCGATGAACATCTTTATGGCGGTGAACAAAATTTCGAGACCATTAGAGAACAGGGCTATGCATAGGCACTAACTAAGACGGGATTGATCACAGAAAAATGAGCTTCCCCGGTGAATTGGACATTGCCCGCCACTCCCCTGAGTTTATTCATACGTAACAAAGCGGCAGCGATGATGCTAGGCATTGAGAATGTACGCAAGTGACTAGTGAGAGCCACGATATCTCGCCAGAAAGCCTGTTCCGAATAGAAGCAGCTGGCTAATTTCTCGGCATCATTTCTAAGTAAGGCTGCGTTGAAAGCATCCACAGCAGACTTGGCCTCTGTGGTAGGCGTGTCGCCGACCATCGTAGACGGGTCGACGGTCCCGGGGGCAATCTTCGGCAAAGGCCTATAAACATCCTTTCGAAGATCGGCCTTGGGAGGGTACTCGCCTGGCAATGTTACCTCAGAGTCGACAATAGCTATGAAATATCAGCAACCGGCGTAGATGGTGATTTACGACGATAATACTTACCGGAAGACATCGTGAGCGAATCTGCTTTGGGCGAAGTAAATGGATGTCACTTAAACGAGGCGTAGATAGTTAGTTCTAGGGAGTAGCATTCACCTGGTATTGATTGATGTTCCAAGGGAGGATATTCATGGGTGGGACCAACTCCGTACGAGTTGGCTGGAGGACATACATAGCTTTGCTTCAATTTGCCAAGATACAGCTTGTGTGAGCAACTGCCAACAGGTTAATACCAGCCAGTTACAGGCTAATCCATTGGCTCCCTTCTTTGGGCCCCCCTCGTCCAGGGTTGTGATGTGCCGCAAATTAATGTAATGTAACGCTTTCTATTAATAGAAATACAATACCTCACGCTCGTCCAACACGTCACTCAGCTTGCAGCATCTCGAGGACCTCGGCCGTCCACTGCCTTGTTGTGTTATCCGACAGCTTTTCCCCATCCCACGTCAGCTTGTCGCATTCGAGGCCGAACAGACACCTCAAGATGGTTACAACGAGAAGATAGATACCGGCAGAATGAAGGCGTACGGCCATGGCCGTCCATTCCACTGGTGGTCCATTCACTATATGCATTTTTAAATCTACCAACGGAGGCAGAGGCTGGATAGGGATAAAATGTCCGGGCAAAGCCTCTACCTAGATGTGAGGAGGAGGACGAGGTCAGTGGATGTATAAATCTGCGAGGACACGAAAACAGAATATCGGGAAAACATTACTATTCCTAAACACTGCGCTAGTAGGGTTTGTGACATTGCGAAGGTTGAAAAAAAAGAAGTGGAAAAGAGAAAAGATGTTGCGGTGAGTGCGGATCGAACGCACGACCTTCAGATGGATGGATGATGAAGTACGACTTCAGTCTGACGCTCTCCCAACTGAGCTATCCCCGCTGATTGGTTGCTGTTGCTAATTTGGCTTATATTCTAAGCCGTGTGTCCCTCGCTGAGCAAGTCCGAGTTTACGCCAATGACTGGGCTTACCACAACCAGGCGGGTATAGTATCTGATTCGCTGGCTTTGCATGCCTAGCGCTCTGAGCGGATCTTGGCAGAGATTTTGAGGTCGCTCAGCATTATTATAGCAATTCCATACCTCACATACAACTAGTCCTAATGGGCACAGGTCAGATAATCTTTGCAGCGAGACGTTTCCTAATCTACTCCTAGGCCAGGTGGACATTACTCCGACAACATTTGATCTACTTGTGAATCTGTACCCACCACTCCTGCACATTCCTCCCTGCCTTCAAGCTACTATATGTCTTCAGAAGACAGTCTTCTGGTAAACGGCCGCTCCGCCGGCCATCAGTGCTATATTGCTTTCTTGAAAGTGGATAGTTGCAGAATCGCTGTTGTTTCGCAATTTGCAGCGCTCTTGCTCGTGCGAAACTGCAAAGCGGCCTGATCAGTTCCGATGAAGATTCGGACAAGGCCGTTTGTTTGCACCTTGACCTGTTCGCTATCCCACAGCTCTCTGGCAGTAGGTAATCCTGTATCTTTTAATGTTAAGTGCACGGTTGGTTTGTGCTTGATAATCCTCGACAGTGGGAAAGCGTTGCTGTGTTGTGACTCTGCTGTACGTGTTCTCGCGTTACTTTTCCGACCCCTGAGCGAGATTCGCTCGTTGCCGTCCTGCGGAAGGACCTCCCAATGTCGAATTCGAGATGGATGCGTGGATAGGAGAAGCGGTACCATATTCATTTTCGACGCCTGAGTTTCTGCGATCAAGGCTGCGCGAGCTTTGCACAGGGCCCGTCAACCCAGGCCGTCCAGATTCTAGGTAATGCTCTGAGAGCACCTTCGTCTTCGGTCTCGTAAGCACCACCTGGCTACGCAACCAGATCCCCGATCCGCCGATTGTGAGCTTCGAGGTCTTTCCCAAAATAGCTCTTTGCCCAAGACAAGAACGATGAATCGTACTTCTCCATGAAAGGAGGCCGCCCTTTTTATCGTTTCAAAGCCACACATCGCCAAAGTTGCGCGATCGGAGCTGACGCGCTGTTTCGAGGGCGGCGAATTGTGGGCGATAAACCATCTAGGACGATTGGGTCGTACGATTTCACCGTCAACCATAAGAAGAAGTTACAAGCCGCGTCAAAATGTTTTCATGAGACGCCAGCGCTGCTCGGGTGAAGATAAAGAGCAGAAGGGTGATCAACGTACGCAACGACGCGTTGTAGCAATCGTCCAGCAAACTCCATATCAATCTCAAGTGCCTCATCCCCTGCAATAACGATGCGTAAGGACTGCCTTTCAATTGAAACAACATTCCGATCGTGAGTCTTGGTACAAGAGCCAGAAGCAAGGAGAAATCGGGGATTCAGGATGCCTAAGACATCAGAGGAGAGGTCGTTATGAAGTCTTGACTTCGGGGCCCCGTTTGGCAGTTGGACAGCGGCCCCGGCCACGAAAATTGTCTTCACCACGCCGATGCCAATCATAACGAAAGGCGAACTGAAGTTGGATGGTTTGGCTGTCTTCATCGTGAAAAGCACATATGCCACCCTCTTTCGTCTGGCAATAAAGGATTATAGGTACCTCGGCGTCAACAGGCCTTGACGGCTTGGTGAGATGACTTACAGCTTCACCTAATGTACGAGTCTCGTCTGTGTAAAACTTGTCTAAGTTCTCCGACGGAATACGCCGGGCTTCCGCTCTTGTTCCGTCTGTGAGATGTTTGGGTGGTGGTGGACTCGAGAGAAATAGAATTGGCTGCTCTAGTTTGCGGTTCCAATAGGAATGAAATGCTTTGATGGGATAATCCAGGTGCATCTTGATTCCCCAATAGCAGCTTCGGGCTTTGCACTAGCTGGACTGTGGTAAACAGCACAGCTTGGTTTGCGGATCCCGCTCGCACCTGATGGTGTTGCTCTAACTACCTAGTGCCGCGGATAGATGTTCGTCTGACATTATAGGTATTGTTGTGCTGTAATAAGAATCTAGAATTTGGGGCCGAAGATGTTGTATTAAGTTGGAATCTAAGCTAGCTATCTAGTTCATGGGAAGATTAATGCCGTGGCAAAGCCACGGCACAGCCACACAGTATCCTTCATCAAATCTAGCAACCCGAAGTAGTGCCGGACAACCACTGAACTATTGGGTAATTGTAGGTAACACGGACTGGTAACTGTGTGTCTTTAGTAGGGGTGATCAACGGAAAATAGGTACGTACAGTGAGGTTTCCACTTTTTGTCACATATAAACAATAATAAAAACTCAAAATTTTAACACCTGCGGGGATAGCTCAGTTGGGAGAGCGTCAGACTGAAGTAAAACTTCATCATTAATCTGAAGGTCGTGCGTTCGATCCGCACTCACCGCAAACTTCGTTTTTTCTTGTTTTTCTTTTTTGCTACTACTGTTATTTCCATCTACCCGTAACGGCCGGAGAAGAGAGATCAAGCAAGCAAAGGTTTTTGTCTAACATAAAAAGCGTCATGACCCCAAAGAACGGAAAGAGATCAATGCTTTTTGACGTGTGACGTGTGATGACTAGCTATTTCTCTCTTCTGCTCCGTAATCTCATCCGGAGCGGCGTTTTATAATAAGGTGAATTGAATGGTGGACACACACGAACAAGAGGTGTCGGTCAGGCCCTGGGGCAGGAGCCTTTCTTGCGATTGGGTGTGCTTGATTGAGCTAGCGACACACATTTGCTTAGAATGCTGGGAATGATCACATATATATATGTCTCACATTGAGAGCCTCGCCGTAGGGTTTCCCAATTCTTAAGAGTCAAGTCATCATCTCGTGGTGATAAGTTAGCGCCGGCGTTGTCGGCCTTGGATGTGGGTTGCCACGTTTTAATTTGCGAGTCAGGGACGGACGTACTCCATTTCCGGTTCCCCGTTCCCAATGGATTCTGGGTATCAAGCCCTGGAACTGGATGAGTCTTGATCCTTGGAAGATTACTTATTGGTTTGGTTGTATGAGGATTGCTTTTGGCAAGAGTTGTTGTGACCTATTAGGTCGCCCCCTTATTGTTGAAATAGGGGGGGCTAGGAAGCAGTGCGACCCACACCTTTGGTATTTATATTTACCTCCATCTTATTTGTACCTATTTATGAACTTATACATCTTTCCAACCAGATATCCAATACATGGATATTTACCGACCCTAACTATACCAATATATCAACACCAATAGTCCCAATATTATGATTCATAGCTCTTCTCCCGTGACACCCTCGGCCGGAGTCTTGACGAGGAGGAATTCCTCCTGTCTCCCATACACCCACTCCCAGCCACCCGTCTCATCATCCCAATACACGTCTTCCTCTTGGGGGAACTTGATAGTCGCATTCCTCTCCGGCACAAAGTGCTCCGCATAGAGCTCGATGCTGTAGTACGTATCCTTCAGCAGCGGGAGGTCTCCCAGGACTGGGACCTCGTCCTGGAGATTCGTCATACCTGAACGTCATCGTCAGCGGCGGAGACGAGTTACACCACTAGGTATCATGGGACATATAAAACCGACGCACCAATCACCGTGCCGGCGGAGTGTCCGTACTCGCCCGTAGCGTGGCAGTAGATCTTGCCCTCGATTCCCTCGCTGCGCATCTGCCTCAGCGCCGCCTTCAATATCTCGTTGCCGGTTCGCCCGATCTTCATGTTTTCCCTCACGATGTCCTGCAGCCGGTTAGCCTTCCTCAAGCCTTCGATCATGCCCTTGGGTACATCGGCCGCCGTCTCCCCTGGGTGTAGTACGTAGCCCAGATGCTGCGTATCAGTATTCAACCCCAAGGCCGACACGCCGAAATCGGTGTGTATCAAATCGCCGTACCGGATGGGACGGTCCGGCGCCCGGGGGTCGTCGGTTGTAGTGTTCCCCGCCGCGCCGGCAGGGAAATCATCACCGGCCGTCAGAATGAACACGCTCGGCTGGAACCAAGTGCTGTAGTTCAGGGCCTGGATCCTATCGCGCATCCACCACGAGACATCCTAGACATGTGCACGAACGAATCAGCATACATATACACACGCATACACACAACTCTACATTTCAAACCGCACAGGTACACCCCCAAACAAACACGCAACCGACCAACCAACCAACCAACCAATTAACTTACCCAAGTGCTCGAGACCCCCGGGGACACCACAGCCGCACTAAACGCCTCCGCAACAACCGCCCACGCCGTCTCCATCAACCTGCGATACCAAGCCAGGCGCGCAGGGACCATAGCGGCGACGACCTCGACGGCGAGCATAGGCTCGAGCACGAAGCGGGCGGCCCAGTCGTCGCCGAGCGCCTGCGTCGCGGCCGCGAGCTCGCCCGCGCCCAGGCCGCCCGCGAACGCGATCTCGGCGTGCGTGTCCACGGCGATCGTGCGCGGCCGCTGTATCTCGAGGGCGCGCCGCAGCGCCGCCCACACCGCCGCCGTGTTGTCAACCCAGACGTACGCGGCGGGCGTGCCGGGGGCCGGGTCGGCTACGTAGAGGTGCGTCGTCCGCCGGCGCGCGGAGAACTGCGTCGATTCTTTCAGCGCCCAGAAGATGGGGTCTTCGGCGTATTCGCGCTGGCTTATCTGTATGGGGGTGTGGGTGCGGGTGTTAGTGTTAGGCTGTGGTATTCGCTTGGGATTTGGTGAGGTGGTGGGGATAGGTAGGTAGGTTAGGTATAGGGGCAATGAGTGTAACGAGATAAGAAAAGACGGACTAGCCAGGCGTCGACGCCGTATTTCTGTAGAATCCCCGGGATAAGCGTCTTACGTTCCTCCGTCCATGCATCGACGAGCACCGCCTGTTCACGCAGGGACGGTAGGGTCTGAATCTGTGGCGTCTTAGTCACTGCTGCGGCGCTCCGCGCCACCACCAACACGGCGGCGGCGTTGAGAAGGCCAGCCAATAGACTCCGCATTCTTCAATAAGTCGGGTACCTTAATACCTAGG